CCCCGAGTGCTGACAGGTCAATAAACTATAGGTCTTGCCCTGTATGCCCAATACGTCTGAGGTATTGAAGACCTTGGCCTTGGGTACTCCGGGCCACAAACTGGCTTGTTGTGCCCCTGAGCTGTAACTCTAAACGAGGTCTTCACATGTAACACTTGTAGGCTGGGTGAACCATGGAGCGTCAAAGCCAGTTGTAAAGAGAGAGAGAAACAAATCTAACTCTAGGCGGGTTCGAACCCAAAATCTACCGCGGCTTCTTTCCAGGAAAGACGGGAAAGAAATAACAATAAGAAGAACAAGAACAAGCGCTACCAGATACCGGAAACAATATTATTGTTTCCAGTCTGAAACCAATACTTTATAGCGGCCTTCAAAGCTACAGGAGAAAGTGCTCTATATGAGATCACATACATACAGTCTTCTTGATTATTGCATGTGATATATGTTATTCAACATCACATGGTTGAACCTGCTTAACATGTAAATGTGATTCAGTTGTCATGGGACCAAATGTCATTTCATAGTGCTGGCTTTTAACTGTAGGAAATGATAATTTCCAGCTTCCGATCGGCAGGCTTAGAGCATTTACATTCTCTTAATTTTACTTCAGTCAGTATTCTTTACCGTTTTAAGCGCAAACTATGCTTTCTAATTGTATAGTAATATTTTTGTTGATGCCCCACTCCACTCTCAACCCTATCCCAAGATTTGAAAAAAAAAAAAAATATGTAATCAATGATTAAGTAGGTTTGTATTATTCTTATTCCTGTTTAGTCTTTAGTTTAATAGGAAAATTTTTCAGCTCATTAGAGTCTAAAATTCAGGTTCTTTGCAGTATGTCGCTCTCATCACAGCCTGCCTAAAATAAGCTCGGCCTCTCGTACTTTCCTCTACCCAAGGTGTCACCTATATCCTGTGCCCTTTGTGACGCATTAGCGCAGTCGATAGGAGACTTGCTTTAAAATTCAGCTGCGACTCGCTGCAGCATACGGCTGGTGTTCGAAACCGGGGGGTCCCGGGGTTCACCCAGCCTCTGGGAAAAAGGTACCAGAGTTAACACTCTGGGTAAACGGAGGAACGTCGCTGTAGGTACGGAGTTGCGTGCGGACGGCAACACAGGCCGACAGTTTCTTACCAGCTGTCCGTACTGGTGGCAGGGCACTTATGGTTTATAACCGTGTGCAATGACGCTGGTTCACATCTCCCGATTTTACTTTCCTTTTGCCCTTTGTGCTAGTCGACGCACGCATCATTTTAGCCATCTGTGGTGCTTGATTTGGCTAAACAAATTTAGTTTCCAGGACATAATGCTGTTTTCTAGCTGAGCGGTTCTCAAACTGGGTGCCGCGGCAACCAGGGGTGCAGCGAAGGTATGCCAAGGGTGCCGCGGTAAAAATCAAGATTTTTTTAAATATCTACTTGAAATCAAGGAAGACAACAGTTTAAAACAGAAATAGCATGAAGGGAGCCAAGAAGAGTTCTGGGTGCAGGTGTATTGAGAAAACAATGCTTTTGGCAAGGCTGCAGTATGTTTTCAACATAAACTTACATTAAAAACAGACACAGGAGCTACCTTGAAGTGATTTGACGTTGCAGTTAATTAAATTTCCAATAAACATAAAGGAAATAATGAACAGTTTATCCAAACAGTTTCATTCATCGCAATACTTTACTTTTTCCTTCCACGTATGCCGCTAAGCGTTGTGGGGAGATGCAAGTTCCTGTCATAAGCAAGGCGGGCAGCATCTGATGTTCTGAGACCATGCTTTTGGCAGGTTTCGGAGACCCCGTCAATCCACCGTTTCCTTGGTCTTCCTCTTGCCTTATATCCTGAGCTTCTTTGGTTGAAAATTTGTGATGTTATTTGGTCATTTTTCATCCTGGTTAGATGTCCGAACCATTTCATTCTTTGATGTTCTATGTATTCTAAACATGGTAAAGTTTTGACAGTGTTTCTAATGTCTATGTTCTTTATCCTGTCTAGTTCATCGCATTAAAGATAACATTAAAGATAATCTGCACTGTCTTTTCCTCTATTCCTAAGATTTGAAATCGCTTTGAGGGTAGGTGTGTCGCTAAAAAAATTGCCCTACAAGGGTGCCACACACACACAAAAAAGTTTGTAAAACGCTGCACTAGATAATCTTCAATGATGATCAGATCTCTTATACTAAAGTAAAAGAAACGTGTGCACACCTTCAGGCGTACGGGACATATAGTAACACAATTTTTTTATTCAAAGTAAGTAAAATAAGTAAAGTAAAGACCCCTTTTCACGCCTTATGCGCATCGGGCATATGGGAAGAGCGTCCCATATTTTTACAGACCAATCGGCACTGGATGGGTAATGTGGTCAGCATTACGCAGGCCGTCTTTACTTTCCCAGGACAGCTATCCTGGTACCCATTTTAGTCTGGGTCTACCTGCGACGCCCCATACCATGATAAAAATCCACGCAGCCAGCAGTGGGTTTCGATCGCGGTACGTTGGATTACGAGTCGGACTCGCAACGCATAAGCCACGCACGCCGCTTATTCAAAGTAAATACCCCTTTTCACGCCTTTGGGCGCATCGGGCACATTGGAAGAGCACCTATATTTTTACAGACCAATCGGCACTAGGTGGGTAATGTGGTCATCATTACGCCGACTGTCTTTACTTCCCTAGGGCATACATCCTGGTACCCATTTTAAACTGGGTCGACCTTTTTAGCGCCCCATACTATGATAAAAATCCACGCAGCCAGCAGTGGGTTTCGATCGCGGTACGTTGGAATTACGAGTCGGACTCGAAACGTCTAAGCCACGCACACCGCTGGACATACAGTGCTAGACCTATAGTTTGTAGACCTATCGACACTCGGTGCCTGGCTCTCTAGCGTAGTTGGCTAAACCGGATTGCCCGATGACCGAGTGACGAACTTCTTGTGGTCCGGGTTCACTCCCGGGGTTAGGCAGGAAAGCCACATTTGCTCCCAGATTTACGGTATTTACAATGGAATCAAAGCCGAAAGGTAGCGATATCCATAATACCGAGCCTAAGGGTTAAGAACTCATGGCTTCTGGATACTAAAACAACAAACAAACAAACAAACAAACATCTACACTCGGTGGGCGATGAAAGTCAACATTACGCCGGCAAACTTCACTTCCCATGACTTCAACTGTTAAAATGTTTACCTTAGGTCCACCTGGGATTCAAGGATATTGTTGAATGAAGTTCAGCTCCGTTCGGATTTAAATCCTCCACCTCCAGATCCACAGTGGAGTATTCAATCACTCCATCACGGCGGCTTCCTTCAAATCTCTTAGGATGTCAGTATTTCTTTCTTCTTCTTGGTCCAGGGTACTCTGAAATCATTATGTGAGATTTCCACCCAAAAGCCCATATGTTTTTACCCTATTGACAGCGAGATAGTCCTCCACACACATTCGTATACGATATGACATTAGTTACCTTTCCTTCATATTACAAAATTATTTCCATAATGTGGATTAAGGAGCTGTATATTTTATCACTGATGTTTTCTTTAAAACCGGGGAATCTCACTAGCTGAAATTCATTTTTCTGAATTATTTGCAAAAGAAAGAAGTGTTGCAAATTTATGTTAATGTTACCTCATTCAAGAGAATACGAGTGTCTTCAAATGAAATAAAAATACGTTGTTTCATTACACAGTAAAATTGTGTAGTAATCGAAAATGACCACTTACCAAAAAGGTTGGTTGCGTATCCTTTACAGGATGTTGCAGAACCAACCCTAACAGCCCCTGACTGTTGCGTTGTTTTTCTAGGCAAATTTACGTCCAGTAGTTTGCCATTGCTTTCTGAATGGTCGGCTTTCTTGATACCACTGTCGAAACCAACGCAAGGCGCATGGCCCACAGCTGGGATCGAACCTGGCATCCTGGCATTACGAAGCGTTCGCATCGACTTAGCCACAGAACCGACACCTACCCAAAAACAAAACAAAAAATTTTGTTTTTTACCACATTGCATTGTCATGCAGAAAGCATATGTGTGCAAAATGTCAGCCGGATAACTGATCAAGAGCACAAAAATCGCACGCAAATTCTTGTAAAAGACACATACACCCAAAAAAAAAAGCGAAAAAAATAATGAAAGGTAAAGGGGAGAGAATCGGCTACATTGTACTGGGTTTCACCCCATATGGCTCAGTCTCTCTCCGCAGAATAGCTAGCTGCCTACAGACAGCGTCGCAAAGGGCATGACCTCCGTAGCTCCGTTGACGACCCCCCCCCCCCACCCACCCAGGTTTCTCAGCAAAGCGCAGCAAACGGCTTGACCACTTTGCCACGGAGTCCCCCAACAAACAAAAGCGAACGTAGTAAAAGAATATAAAAACTAGAAAGAACATCTGGTCCCTTTCATGGGCAAAAGACAGTGAGATGAACCTCCATCAGTTTCCCGTCTAGACAGGATAATGGCGCGCAGAAATTACTTAATAGTGATAAAGACGAATGTGTAAATTTTTGTGTTTATACTTTGGGTTTTCCCAGTTCTGGTTCACCTGCTATAAACTGGTGGAAAGTATTGGTTGTGAGTTCTTTTTCTTCTCTTCCACCTTGTACCTCAGTTAAGTGTCGCGGAGAGATGTAACATTCGTTGATGAACTCTGTCAGGATCACTATTAAGAATGATGTTCATTTCTATAATACTGTTCTTAATGCTATCACTCCATATTTTCCGAGATCTTCCACTCGCTCTATACCCGTTGTAAGGTTTTATTTTGGCTCGCTATGGCAGTAGTACCAGGGCTTTTTTTGTTAGGTGTCCAAACCACTTCATTTGTTGTTCTTTGATGACCGGTAAGACTGGTTTATTCCCAGCATTTGTCTGATTTTGTGATTTCGTTTTCTGTCTTTCTTCAAAACTCCTGCAGCTCTTCTAGTTTGCTAGTAAACATTTTAATTGAATGTGTTTTTTTTTTTAAACATCAAATGATCTTTAATGAATAATATTTATTATTTCTTTTTCCAG